TAATTTAATAGATTGCTATTACTCTTCGGAGATGTCTAGAAACATAGTTTTCATTTTATGCGTTGTAAGGACAAATTTCAACTTTTCGTTTATTTTCAATAAAAGTGAGATTTTGGTTTATCTGGTTGCCTTATTTTATATTTCCTTGCAATGGCATTTATGAAAGTGTTGGTTACATTTCTAATATTAGCAATATTAATTATAGATTTGATTCTTATGATATCCCTTATGGTATTGTCATAATTAACCAAGTGAAAAGAATTCTCATCACGAAGTTTCAAATCGGACAAAAACTTGGAGTCATGCAATGCGAATTGTGTGATGCATCAACATCTTGTTCATTGGAAAATTATGACTAATTCATTGTTCACATGTTTATGTGAGGTAAGTGAAGGACTAATGGATATAGTACATGTTGATAGGACTATTCAGATCCAACACAAAGGACAATAACTCAATTTATATGCATCACAGGTAGCGGAACTAAGACTGCTAGAAACTAGTTAGTCAGCCAAGTGAAATAAGAGATGTTCCTCTAATAGTAATTCATGACCTTTTTATTTTTACACTGCAACCTATGTTGGGATATTAATGGTGACATCCATGGTATTTTAATAAAATAAAATAACTTATGTTATCTCAATTGTTTTAAACTAGGATTTTCCACAACACAACTTAAAGTGTAAAGAAAAAGTTTTAATCAATTATGAAAATAAGGGAATGTCACAAAAGGGCACATGCAATCTATAAGAATGTATGTCAATACACTTTGAAGGTAACATACAATAAACAACAAAACCTAACATGAACCCTAATGTAATCGAAATTGCCAAGTTAGGGTTACATACCATTGATTTGTTGTAGTAAACAAATCACTTCAATCCTTTGTAGTTGTTGGTCTTGGAAAGCTCAGCACCAAAAGGATGATGCATATAATGGCTCACACCCAAACCTTAGAACTAGAAGACAAGAGATGAGAGAGGAGGAAGTAATTTTTTGGCCAAAGTATCTTCTTGGGAATGTGGTGAACGGAAATTACAAGCCTTAGGGTCCTATTTATAGTGTGAATGACATAAGGAAAATCGTATATTTGAAATAAAAAAAGTCTTCAGATTTAATCTATTCAAATATGGTATCCTTATCAGCTTTAGGAATATTCTAGAAACCTTACAATCCTTCCTAAAAACATCCACCGCTATTAGGGTTCTAGAATTTTCATTCCTTGCTCAATTAAGAACAAGTACAATTCAACCGTTGGACCTTTAATTAATTTCAGTTAATCCCAAATTAATTCGAGATTAATTCTGATTAATAATTAATTAATTCTTATTGATTTCTTATTAATTTATTAATCATATAAATTAACAAATCAATTATATAACTATTGATCTCATATTAAATTATTAATCACATAATAAATTAACAAATCAACTATATATTTCCAATTAATATATTAATCATATAATATATTAACAAATCATTTATTATAATTTATTAATCATATAATAAACTAATAAATTTATCCTCTCTCTACAAATATCATTCTAACAAAGTTTTAGTTATGAGGGCAACCTAAAAAGGACTTTCGTTTAATCTCGCATGATAATCGTTATGCTCATGACAAACCTTATGACATCTCCAACAAACCATATTTCTGGTTTCTTGTTTAGACCATCGTGATGTCCAAATTTACCCTTCTTGTTCTTTCCTTTATCATTGTTAGAATTACTTTTGTCCTCGGTCATGTTCACATGTTCAAATGCATTATCGTTGGGAGTTGCATTTTCATGAACATAAAAAAAAACTTTTCTATACCCAAATGACTGCCCAATTAAACCTAATACACTTCTTATTTCTTATTCTTCAACATGCATTTAAAATCTTTCCACGAAGGAGGTGACTTGTTGATAATAACTCAATATGAAGATGGATACATCCATATTCATGGCGTATTGGGAAAAATTGTCCAAAAATTCTCAACTAGTTGTACTCCTCCTTCATTGGTCGAGAATCAACCATTTTATAATTTACAAAATTACTTATATGTATTTGTTGAAGCATCTTATGTCATATATTTTGTTTCTAATTGATCCCGTCAGTCTTCTAAAGACTATGTTTTTATAAACATAAAAAAGGACATCATGCATCTTATTCAAAATATGTCCCCGACATATGTAATTTTCATTCTCTTACTTGCTCCTTTTGCAAATTTGTTCCAAGGTTTCAACCTCTAATTTTTTTTTTGTTGAATTAGGGTGCTAAAAACATACAAAATTTTTAGAGTATCAAAGGAAAAACATATTCTTTTTGTATCTATGAAAAATCAGTGTCATCGAATTTTTCCAATTTGCCAAACTTAGAGGTCATATCTTTCATATATTCCGTATTTGGCATGATCACGAAATGACAAAATATTTTCCAAGATTGTTTGAGAAATTTCAAGATCAGGGTTGTCGTAGATCAAATGTAACTGTTTGGATAGTTAACAAACATATAATTTAGACTTTGCTTGAAACTTTTTGCACCCTATATTTACGTTCAACAAATATTTTCACAGGATAACTCGTTGAAAAAAAAAATACTTGAACTACACATTACAACAACAACAAACCCCGAAAATCCCATTAATATGGGGTGGAGGGGAGGTAGATGTAGACATGTGTGCCTCCGTAAGTGTAAAACAATTGCGTCATATAGATGCCCTCCAACATGAGTAACTAACAACCTATAAAAGAAGCAAACATAGCAAGTACATCAAAGTGAGCATAACAACATAAAGATAAAAGAAAATCTAACTAGGGCCTCCCATTCCGAGAACATGCAAAAGAGGCAAACAATAGGAAGTACGTAAATTGCAAGCAGTAAAATAATAGACGGATAAACCATGATACAAAGATATGAACACAAGATATAATTCAAATTATAAATCATGAAACAAAACATACATGGGAGCGAGGCTACCTATCTACCTTGATATTTAGCCTCCACACCCTCCTATATGAGGTCATGTCCTTTAAAGAGAAAATTCATCCATGTCAAGCCTGGGCCGGACCAAGCCCAGGGCGAGCTGGGCCATGGCCCAGGGCAGCAAACTAATAGGGGGCATCAGATTGTAAGAAGCTATTATGGGTATTATGTCATTTAGGGCAAACCTTTTATCCATAAAATGGTTCAGTCCATGAGTCCAACTAAAAAGGAGGGCATCGAGTCCGACACCTGAAGGCGCAAATCACAATTTGGCATGTTTCTCCCAAAGTTAACACGCCACTGAAGAAGTCGAGGCGTTGAAGAAGATGGGGTATAGGGGAAGACAAGGAGACGAGGTCTAACAGTAACATTGATTCAAATGAGTTGTTGGTGATCTCAATTCTTAAAAAAAAACTATGTTTCCTATATTCTCAAAGTCGATATATCTTCAGATCTCGTTCTCTCAACCTCATTTTCTTCTTCGAAATCAGTGCCTAGATGGTTTTCATTTGTTCTTAGTCACCAACGTAACTGCCTTCAAGCTTCTTTCATTATCGTTCATTGGTTTTTATTTACTTCTCACTTCTCAGTAGTGCAGATTCTTCAAAATAGCCAACAAATGAACCGAAAAGCTTTTTGACTTTTCGGTTAAAATTAGAAGAAAACCTGTAAAGGATAATAAATCTAGTTTTTCAATTACATAAAACGTCAAACTTTGTGGTAATTATCCTTTGTTGTTTTTCAAATACATATTGTGTGCTGTTTTTATTGTTTAAAGATTTCAACTTTCATTGTTTATTTGTTGCCGTCTTAACTTTGTTTGGTTTTAGTTTATAAAATTATTGTTTACTGTTTTGTAGTCTTATATATATGTGTTTTTTTGGTAGTATGTTTAGTGGTATTCGACCACAATCGTTTGTTTTTTTTAACTGTTTTTATCACATTTTAGGATTAATAATTGAAGGGAGTTTAAAGAAGAAAGGGTATGTAATATTTGTCTTGTTAGTTTATATCTTGTTTTAGCTTTTTCTGAGTAATTATTGTTTAGTAATCTATGAAAATTAGATACTAAGTGGGGTTTCTGGTATAATCTGTTTTATATATGTGGTTCTAGTTTTGTGAAATCTCTGGGCTTATGTACATAACTTTAGTGTGTACATGACCATATTTACTATTTAATCATTTGTTAGTTGCTATTTTTGGATTGTCACAAAAAGTTTATTACAATTTTGGGTTGGTTGGGTTGGATTCTCTTAAGTTTAATTAATATTTTTGGCTTTACGAAATGCATGAAGACATGTTTACATAGGGATTTTGAAACATTTGGTTTGTATGATGAGTTTTTTAAGTTAAAAAGTTGTTAGATTGTTGATTTTGAAATTTATGTTCTATATTGGTCAGTTGTATTTCAACAGACAAAAAAAATGGGGCATTATTATATCGTTTCATGTCGGGCATGAAAAATCTTTGGACCGGCCTGAGCCTGACACTATCCTCCCATTTCATTTGAGGATTATTGACCCTATCTTCATTATCGTCTCCTCTGATGGTAGCCTCTTAAGGACATGTTCATATTACCTCAACCATCACTCCCAAAGAGTTTCTTATATCCTCATTTGGATTCCTATCCAATAAAGTTATTGTCACATGTCTATATCCACCTCAACATTCTCATCTGCTACTTCCATCTTTCTTTTGTAATCCTTTTTGGTTGGCCAAAATTCGGATTCATACAAATAAGAATAAACTGAAGTGCGGATGGCCCAACACTATACAAACATATATATTCTTCTTTCCTTATAAATTAAAATAAAACATGCCAATTTTTTTTGTCTAAAATATCATCAAGATAAATAGCTTTTTAAAAAATCAATATTTCTTTTTAATTTATGTCACACGTCATGATTTGTTATTTAATATTTTGCATTCTACTTCACAAATGACTCCAAATCGTAATTAGTTGAAGAACTTCGTATCTTTTACCACACCTAGGGTGCAAACATCCATATACAAAAACGATATGCAGTCAACTAGCCAACAATCACACCCTCATAAACGCATTTTAAAATGATTCATATGCACAAAAAATCCCAACTTGTTATGCACCAACTATTCACAAGATTAAACCAAGTAAAAACCATGGAAAAGTATTACTATTGGATTATACATGTGATTCAGAAAAACGTGATATACAAAGAGCTAACATACTCTCAGAGGCGAAGGTAACCTCCTCTTTCTCCACCAGTTCTTCTGAGGAAAGACCTTTTGTTAAGTGACCAGCTTCTTTTCAAAGCTCTTTGTTTTCTCCAAGCAGTTATTCGGCTATAAAGAAAAGGAAACAAGAAGGATAACAACACAAGAGCTAAAGTTGCCACACAAACCAACATCACGTTTCTGAATCCATCTGCTATCTTTGGATCTCTTTGTCCTGTCCATGGCACCCCTCCCACATTCATCCCAAAAACTGCCACATCATCATTAATTATTATTATTATTATTAACATCATTAACCTTAAGGTCCAAAATGTGTTGATTTGACTTAAAATTGTCAAAGTGTAGTAGAATCTAACCTCCTGTGATGATGGATAGAGGAAGGAATATGATGGAGAGGAATGAGAGATAGTAGAGTTTTCGGTTGATTTGCTCTGCCTGCCAACTGTCAAGTCCAGCCTGTACAGCTGTCACACGATTGGAGATAAAACCAACATTATCTTTTAATCTTTTCAATCGTCTGATTAACTCTTCAAGGGAATTGATGTCTTCATTAGCAAACCAATCTTTTGCAGAACATTTTTCCTTCACTCTTGGAAACACTTGTTCTCCATGTGTAATCACCTACATTATCCAAGGGTATTTCCGTCTTTTGCACAAACAAGAGAGTAAATACAGAAAGAAGGCCACAATGATTAGTTACCTGCAAGAGGCGTTGTAAGTCTAGATGCATTTTAGGGAATCTTCTATCATCCAACAATTGTTTCTTCAAGTAAAAACCACCTGAAAGTCAATCTAAAGTCAAACTATGCAATTATCCAATCTTTCACTTCATTGATCATAAAAATGTAAACTTTACCTTTATCCAAATCAACTTCTACAGAATCAAGCTCGATCTCAAGTTTAGTAACAACATCCTCAAGGTGATCCACATGAGTATCAACAATATGAACAACCAAATTGGAAACCGATTTAGGAACAGGATTGTCTGCCTCCTCAGAATGATTCATTGTCAACAAGAACTCAAGAACATGTTCTTTGATCACAAAACCATCATTTTCCGATGACCCACTATGTTTAGCACTTGGACTCTCTACACTTGGGATTTCAGATAAAAGAGACTGGCCCACAGGAGAAAACCCTAATCTAGGCACTCGCCCTAATGACACTGTAATCACAGAATTCTCAGTAACCCTAGCAGCTAATCTAAATGTAAACTTGCTAGAAGGTGGACCAGGTGAATTAACCCTAAATACAAGAGCTCCATCGACATGCCCACAATATGGTCCATTGCTAATTAAAGAAAGAATGTCTTGTAGTTTTAATGGAGGACAAAGAACATCAATAAGATATTGAGCAGATTGCGAAAGTTTTTGATTCCCTTTGGGGATTTCAACATGATACCAACAAAATTCTTTGTCATTACCCTCTAAGAGATCCCATTCTTTATTGTAGTAATCCCCTAATCCATCGAATATGTAGGCTTTCAATCTAACTAAACCAGGGTAACGTGTTCGAAAGGGGCGCACTTCATCGATACGAACACGTGAAGACGATTCGCCCTCAATTTCATCTATCTCGGTGTCTATGCCTAGCTCTCCTTTACCCATTTGTATCACAGTTTTATCCAACTATCTTGATTCTTGCATAAAACAGAAATCAATATGAGCAGAAAGAATCTAGCTAAAAGAAAAAGACCCAGCTGTAATTTCACTCGAATTCGAAGATCATGATAATCCAATGAACAGATGCATGAATTTGGGGACGAACAAAATTAAACCCTAACGATCAATAATCATGACAAACTCCTGAAAACTGCATTGACCCAATCAAACCCAACAAGAAATCGTCCAATTGAAGATTGAAAAACAGAGTTTTCCGTTGATCCCTGTGCGTGAGCAATTGAATTATTAGAACTGGGTTAAGATCCATTGAGCAACCGAAAACGAAAAAAAAAAGATATAGAAATTAAAAGAAATCCATCAAGAAAAACTTCACCTTATTGAAGCCGGCGATTTCTTTCTAAACGTTGAAATAATCAATTCAACGTTTAGATCATGGGTATGATGGGAAAAACGTTTAAAGTGATGATATATAATAGAAATTATTTGCAAATTGCAATACTCGATTTCTTGAAAACGCTTTTGTCAAATCGGGAGAGCAGTTTCCTCGAAGGTTCGTCACCCAAATTTACAGTCGTGAACTTGAGATATATCCTTAAATGGTTAGCAGCTGATAGAATTCGCCGATTATTCTCATTTCTGTTAAATTTAATAAATGACACATTATTGGGCACTAATTAACATAAATCAATAAAATCGAAAACTTTTAAAGAAGATATTAAAATATTAACATAAGTGCATCTTTAAACTCCACTTCCTATTTATGTTGGTACAAAGGTTGTTGGAAGTCGGTCCATTTACGCCGCACTTGAAGCCTTGCAAAAGCCGAGCGTCATGGTGCAAGGGCATGAATATGTTGTGAGAAGGAGACTTCGTGATTTTAGTATTCGACTTTTAGATAATTGTATAAATGAAGATGATTTCAATATAATATTCTAATTCAAGAAAATGACAATAATTTAGATTTAATATTATAATATGATATTATGACTTTTCGTAAGTTGACTTCTTATACCAAGTTGGAACAAAGTCGTAATTTTTTTTTTTTGGAATAAATGCAAGATCTCACAATTTACTATCCGTCTTTTCCTTATTGTAACATTGTACTTGTTTTGCGGTGGGAGAAGTAATTGTCATGACAATATTGACTTTAGAGACTTCTCTTCTCATTTGAAGATTTGAAAATAAATACACCAACAACTCATGGCTATCTCCATGTTCAACATCTCCTGATTTGTTATACTTTTGGCCGTATGTCACATGTTTTTCTTTCGGGTGATGACATTCTCTTTTGTTGTTTAAAATAATATGTTTTTCGAATCATGTGATATAGTAGAGTTCCCATTTGCTCAAGTTTACAAGTTAGTACATTTAATGTTATTACAGTATTTTATTTTAAAATACATTTGCCTTTTTAAGTGTCAATAAACCATCACAAAGGGTCACTCACAATGAGCAAAAAAAGCTTTACACACGTCATGAAGAATCATTCAAGTTAGTGGGCAAACAAGGATACGTATATTTAAAAGTACGTAAGATTAATAATGTGATAAAAGTTGGTAAATATTGTTAGAGTTGTGACGCTTATGGTTATATAACTGTCACAACGACGAGAATATGAGGGACCGATGCCTCCCTTTTCACAACGACGGGAATATGAGGGACCGATGCCCCCTTTGAATTTATAGATACTTTTTCTCCATCAAAAAGTATTATAACAATCTTTGTTGTGAAAAAAGTACTTTTGTAACTTTTATACTTACCAATTCTAGTAGTAATATTACATACTAACTCCTCTATAGTTTTGGATTGTTATGACTTTTTCTTCGATTCAATAGAATATGGCTGAAAAGAAAGTTCAACATAGCTGGGTGGATGCACCGGGTTTAATACTCATGTGGGGTGGAGGTGATAGGTTCGATCCTTGTAGTCCTCAAAAAGTGTCACATGTGGGAAAATTTTCCATGGAAACCTCTATGGGGAGTGTGTTTGCCCTGTAAAGGAGCTCGAACCCCTGCTCGCTGAAGTCTTACGATTAAGCTTCCACTTAATTGTTTGTTGTTTAAAAAAAATAGAATATGACTTGAATCATTTATGTAGTGTGTTTTTTTAAACAACATTTAAAAACTAATAAGCAAACTAATTAGTTAACTACAAACAATCCGAGTACCTAATTCAAGGGCAAAATTTCAGGAAACTTTGGCTTGGTTGGCTTCCAAGACTTCTACGGGTGGAGGAAACTCAATGGAACAACTTAAAGGACATTATGCAAACTTTGGTTTTATCGAAACAAATAGATAGATGTTGGGGAGTTTGTGATTAGGGATTGTTGTAGATCCAATCGGATTACATGGATAGTTAATAAATTGTGTAGAACATTTTCCTTGAAAACTATTTGATCCTTCAAATATAATTTTTGAAAGTTATTACTTATTAGGCCTCTAGGAGTCGACGACGGTTTCAAAAACGGGATGAGGCGGTACCAGTACCTAGCATTGGCAGGTTCAGCAGTTTCATGGGTTTAATGCTTTCAAACGGGTTGGTGAACCCGTGAGTAATGAATGTATTGTAATGCATGCATGTGACTTTGCAATAGACAATTGATTGCATGGACAGAGAATTGATTCTTCTACCGACTTTATTTTGAATTAGTTTGAATGCATTTGACCTTTGACCATACCCATACGACTTTATTTATTTATGTAGTTTTTTTTTGTTTTATAAGTTTATAAAAATGAATGCACAATTCACTCATTTGTAGTGTGTTTTCTCTGAAAATTTTATAATTCGTTCAATTTTTTCAGTTACCTTCAATCAATTCCCGAGGCAAAGCTAAACAAACCGGTTCCAGCCAAAGACGCAAATCCACACAAAACGGTTCAAGTCAAGATATTCCATTTTTTCTCCAGATTTTCAAAATCCAAACTATCAGCAATACCAAAACTACCAATGTAACATCCTGTTTCCCGTCATTTCTTATTTCAGGGCCGTGGGCCGGAAGTCGATTGTTAAAAGCTTTGGGCCTTAAGGAGGTAAATATTAGACCTTGTGGAAGGAGGTAATGATGGTTGAGAGATCCAACCCTTGAATTGTGTTTTGGGTCGAAGGGTAAAAAGGAAAAAGTCATAGGCCGGGTTCTTGGATGAAATATGGATTTTTGTTCGAGAAGTTTTTAGTCCAATATATTTAGATAATATTATAGAGCTCTTCAACACCTTTCCGTGGATATAAAGAATGTTGAAAACGGAGTTGGAATGAAGAAGTTACGACCGTTTGAAGTTATGGCGATTTTTGGGTTAGCCGCTTACGATGGGCGTATTAGGGCCTCCCTAGTACGTTGGGCGTACCGGGAGTACGTTAGGTGTACCAGGAGTACGCTGGGCGTACGCGATCAATGCCCAAACCCTATTTTCGTGGTTTGAGCCCTATTTAAGCTCCTTAACTTCCCCAAACCCACTCCATTCTCAATCTCCACCTCTCCAACATCCTCTCTTGAAACCCTAACCCTAGTTTGAGCCTTGTAAGCAAAAGAAGGTGTTTTTAAGTGCTTTGGAGTGTTCTTGGTGCACCTTGGAGAAGAATGAACTCATTGAAGAAGCGTTGGTTGCATTGGAGCTTGTAGATCCAGACCTTGTTCACCTTGATATTTCTTCTGGAGGTATAAAGTTTGAATCTTGATGATGAAATTGTTAGATCTAGCTACTTTTGGGTGTTATGAGCTTTTGGTCACTTTAAGTGCATAAAGTTTAGATCTTGGAAGTTTGTGACCTTGTTATGGATAAAGTTGGAAACTTTATCCATCTAAACATCATATTGACTCAATATGAAGGTTGGAGACTTGGACTTAATGGATGAAGTTGAAAAAGATGCACTTTTGGTCCCTTTATGACTTAAAAACTAGATCTTGTTTGCTGGGACCATTCTAATGGATAAAGTTGGAAACTTTATCCATTATGGAGCTATTAGGAACAATAAAAATGTGATCTTGGCCCTTCTATATCTTCCATGCAAGAGTTGTGATGTCTTAATGGATTAATAAGTTCGGGTTTTAGATTTTGGACCTTCCCTAGCCATGGAAAGTCATAAAGGTGGAAACTTTATGACTTAAGACAATGTTTTGAGGCTAGATCTGAGTTTGGGTGAAAAATCCTTAAGGGATTAAGTGCTTAATGGAAAGCATGGAACCAACTCGAGTACGTTGGGCTTAATTTTCGTACGCTAGGCGTACTAAGCCTTCCCATGTACGCGAGGCGTAAGTTGAGTACGCAGGGCATACTCAACCAGCCTTGGACTTTGACTTTTTTTGACTCCGTTGACCGTTGACTTTTTTACCAAGTTTGACTTTAGGTCAAACTTGAGGGTTTTGATTGGTGATTAAGATTTTACATGGTTCTGATGTTAGTGGATCCGCAGGAGCAAGCAGTGTAGCAGGGAGCGTATCACAGTGTTCTCGTGTTCCTTCATTTAAGGTGAGTTTCGCCTCACTATACCCTTGGGTCGAAGGCACCAATGCCGACCCACTAGTTTTGGTTATCTGTTAGTAGAGGGATGCCTTAGGGACTGTATATAGTCATGTAGGATAGAATGAGGACTCTTGATCTAGGCTCTTTTACACGTTCCTTGTTTGGTTGTGATTCTAGAGTAGGATCACCTATCCGAGTGTCTATCTCACCTCTGAGTATATACGGACATGCATTCCTTGGATTGTTGATATTTAGTATATTGTTATGCTATAGTGATCTGTTAGATCTGTATCCTGGCGTCAAGTATGTTGCTATGTTATGGTGATCCGTTAGATCTGTATCCTAGTATCGAGTATGTTGCTTTGTTGTAGTGATCTCTAGAGTTGTATGTTATATGTACTTGTTGGTTATCATCTAGTGGAGTGCCCTAGGGACTGTCTGTGGTCATGTAGGATAGCATGAGAACTCTTGATCTAGGCTTTATTGCCTATTCCTTGTTTGATTGTGGCTCTATATTAGGATCATCTGTTCGGGTGGCTATCCCACTTCTAGTTACTTATGGTTACGCATTTCATGGTGGTTAGCTGGTAGCGGGACTGTATATTCTGAGTTGTATGATTGATGTTTGCCTGTATTATATGCCTACTTGATCTTTGATTGTTTATATGTCGACATATGGTAGTGGTGGGTTGAGGTGGTCCTGCTTTGTGTTGTATGCCAAGATACCCGGTGCGGGCCGGCTGTAAGCCGAAGGCACGGATGCTCGGAAGGAGCGGTTGGGTTGAGGCGGTAGGCCAACAAACCCTAATATGCCAGCCCGGATAGACTGAAGGCCTGTGAGGCGGTCCAGTCGGGCCGAAGGCCCGAAGAGCGGCCGTTATGCATGCTTGTATGTTTATCGTATGAGGTATTTTGGGGGAAACTCATTAAGCTTTGTGTTTACCCAGTTGTTTATTGTTTCAGGTATCATCGGTCATCATGGGAAGGCGAAGGCATGACTGTACACATTCATCAACAACAATGAAGATTTCACGCTTTAATATTACTCTGATTTTTATAAATGTATTTGGAATAAACGGTTTTCTCCACAACGGATTTATAATTGGGAAGATTTACTTAAATAAAATGAAATTTTTTGGTTGTGAAAATAGGACGTTACAACCAACAAAACCAAAACCACCCACAACAGTATTACCCAATGCAACAATCTTACAACACATTTAAGCTTAAGGAAAATCAGAGTTATAATCCATGGAATCAGTTTTCGCAAAGGGTTCCAGAAACTCAATTCCAATCTTCTCAAGCTGCGAATTTCCAGTTTCATGATGCTCAAAACATAGAATCTGACAGTTCTAGTGACGACCCATCTCCCCAAAGAAACAGAGAAGAAACCAGTGAGGATTTGCAACCCGTTGCTGAGAAAAAACGCAACTATACACACCGACAGAAGCGAAAGAAATAGGTGGAACGCGAAGAGTTGGCTTTGGCTAGGGCATATGTTGATGTTTCTAAAGATAAAGAACGTGAAAATCAACAAAGGTTCGATGCATTTTGGGAGAGGGTTCTAGAGCATTTTAATGTTCAAATGGGAGGTTCGGATCGGTCACCACACCAAGTAAACTCAAAATGGAAAGACCTGCAAAAGAAATGTAACACTTTCAACTACATCTATAACCATAAGATGAACAATATGGCTAGCGGGAGAGATGAGGCTGATGTTTTACAATATTCAGTAAGCGAGTATCGGATGACTACTAATCAGAAAAATTTTCCTCATCAGCAAGCTTGGGGAATGGTTGAAAGGCACCATAAAATGGGCATTAGTTACAAAAGTTGGTGTAACATCCCAAAAATTCAAGACTAAAAATTTCATTTTAATTAAGTAATTATAAAATCAATAGTCTGAAAACATCCATAGTTTCATCTCATATCAAACCAATATGTCAATAATCAAAACATGTCATAATAAAACAACATCAGAGTTTAACTCCCAAAGATCTCATGTGCGGAAAACATGGTGTGATGCGCTGCGATCATGCCGACTCCTTTCCTTTCGAAGAAGTACCTGAAACCAAAACTGAAAACCGTAAGCACGAAGCTTAGTGAGTTCCCCCATCATACCACATATCATACAATAAACATATTGTCTAGCATATCCGGGTGCTGGCCTACCCTGCTGTCTCTTTCAACCGGTAACCGCCTAGCATATCAGGGTGCTGGCCTACCCCTTCGGTTTCTTTCAACCGGTAACCGCCTAGCATATCTGGGTGTTGGCCTACCCCTTTGGTATCTTTCAACCGGTTACGGGGACTATTTCACCCCTACCACTACCACATAATATCCTAGCATATACACATAAATCACATACTACCTAGCATATCTGGGTGCTGGCCTACCCCTTCGGTCCTTTCGACCGGTTACGGGGACTATTTCATCCCCCTACCACTACCACGTAATAACATAGCATACAAGCACATAAATCTCAACAGATAGTGGCACACCATAAAATTATCACAAATACAATCATCTCTATTGTAACAACTACTAGTGGGCCGACATTGGTGCCTTCGACCCACTTATACTGGGAAGGTAACTCACCTCGAACTGAAAAGTAGCTGAAAATCCTCGGCTCCGAATATCAACCCAACTCAAGCTCCTAAACATAAAAGATTTCCTTTAAGTACCCTTTCATACTCATGACCCTTTAAGGGTCAACTTTGGTCCAAGTCAAAGTCAAGGTCAAAGTCAACGCTCCGAGTTGACTCGACTCGTCGATTTTGCCCTTCAACTCGCCGAGTTCCCATAAATCATAAAATCATGAAATCGCGATCCAACTCGTCGAGTTTTCCTCCAAATCGCCGAGTTTGTCCTTTATAACAACAATCGGGCCACTTTCAATCAACTCATCGAGTTCCTTTATGAACTCGTCGAGTTCTTCAGTCTGTTAACCTTCTTAATGCATTAAGTCCCTATTCTTCAAACCAAGGCCCTATCTTCTGGATCTAGGCTGGAAATACGTCTGGAAGGGTAAACTTTCCAACTTTACCCATTAAGGACCTCTCCCCACACATAAAACTCAAACCCTAACCCGAAAGGACTTAGATCCAACTCCAAAAGCCATCAAAACTTCAAGATAGACCATGAGGTCATAGATCTGGACTCTATGGACAATTTGGTCACGTAAAGCTCCCATCTTTTCTCGCATGCACGACCTACTAGGGCTTAAAAGACCAAAAAGATGGTCTAAAAGTTCCATGGCCATAAAGTTGGCACCTTTATGCCATGAAGTCCCCTCAAGACCCTAGATCTGAAGGGTTTGCCCAAATGGGACGTCCAAATCCCAACCATCAATACACTTGGACCAAAACATGAAAGAAAGCATCCTAAAACTAGATCTAAGCATGCCATAAACAAGGTTGAAGCTTTATACCTCAGATGAATCATAAATAAAGCCCAACTTCTGAATCTACTCTCCTCCCAGACGTTCTTGCTCCTCCTTCAAGTCTCTTCTTCTTCAAACTCACCAAGAATGCACAAGATTAGCTTACAATCACCAAACGCAGCTTAGGGTTTCAAGATTAGGGTTTTGGACAGTGGAGGCTGGAGATGAGGCCAACACCTTGGGGTTAAGATGTTTAAATAGGGTGCAAAACCTTGGAATTAGGGTTTCATTTTCGCCAGCCTACTCGTCGAGTTGAGGATCCCTAATCCGCGGTCCAATTCATCTCTACTCGACGAGTTTGGGGCCTCCAACTCGTCGAGTTTCTATACAAAAGTGAATAATCATAAAATAAATACATACCAGGAACCATGCGTTACAGTTGGAGAAGACTCCTCGCCTCCTTCTTCAAAGCGAACCAAAACATCTTCATCCAACGCCTACACAACATCTTCCAATGCACAATATCCTCCCAAATTCCCCCAACAACAAGAACAGTCGTTTAATGCTGAATACTCACCACCTCAAAGAAAAAGAAAATGAAAGAAAGCAACATCGACATAGTCAACACAAAATGAAATGTTTGATCTCGTCAAACAAATTGTCAACATCAACACCACAACCAACACAGAGGCGGAACAGAGACAACGGTACCGGGAACAAAAATTACGTATTTTAGAAGCTAATGAAGAACGAAAAGTTCAACTGTTAGACCGGGAGATTGAGAACCAAGATATTAAGTATTTTCTCTGACCGCATGATCATTTGACTGATGCTATTTTGTGCACGGTGCTTGAAAGGAAACGAAAAATTGCAACTAAGTATGTTTGGGAGTTGGAGAATCCGTGAAGTTCAGAATGCCGACATCATTTTACTGGAGAATCTTTCTCTTTATTATTATGTTTTTTCTTTTTATTTTTCGTTTTCTTTTTCTTTTTCTTTTTATTTAGATTCTCTATATGTACACCTGTTTCATTATCTATATATATGTATGCTTGTTTCATTATATATATATATATATATATATATATATATATATATAATATATATAGAGAGAGAGAGAGAGAGAGAGAGCTAGGTTCAAATGTTTCTCTAGGTTCAAATGTTTCTAGCAATTATTGTGTGCATGTATGAACCAATGAGAGTTTTTAGAAAAAATAAATCATTAATAATAAATATAAGGGTATAATAGTAATCTATACTATAATTAATTATGGTAAATTGATAAAATCAAATAATATCCCCTTTAAATTAGGTTATCAGTTTTACAACCCTATAACACCATCACCCATTCCCGTCTTTCTCTAAAAACCATCGTCCATAACCATGATCATCTTAGCTGCCGACCACCACCGTCATCATCTCCATCGCCGACTCTTCGTGCTATTCGATCGATCCCACACCACAAAACCTCAGCGGCCCTCTTCATCGTCGTTCCTCCACTATCCGCAACCATCACTCGCCTCCACTAGCAAGTTGGATCCAGATATGGAGGTGGAGGCGAAATCAAATGATCGATGAAGTGGGATACGGAAATTAGATTGATCGGAAAAAAATTGATACTTTAATCGATAGACAAGGTATGTATAAAAAATTCAATCTTTGGAATTCAAGATTCTACTGTGCTGATATCTCTCTTTACGTTTTGATGATCGATCTAAAAAGGTTTGCAACTTTACTGAATGGAGCTGATTCACATTCTAGGGTTTCATATCATTCTAAAAACCTCCTTTAACAATTGACTATATTTTATTTAGTCTTAGGTATTAGAAGCAAAAAAAATTGGGACTTATGTTTCCAATACTTCTTTTCACGCTACAATTTTAATGATATTAACACTTTTTGCTTTTGACCAAAGAGTACTTTTTGCTTATAACTAAACTTTATTTCATCATTTTCATATTGATTTATCCATGGATGTCAATTGTCATCGGTTCATTTGGTTGTGATTAATTGTTTCAGGATCTTGAGTTTGTGCAATTTCATCCCACTATATATGACTATATGGTGCTGGGTACCTTATTAAAATGTATTCTGGTAGAATTTTAGTTAATTACTTATATGTTTAATTGCACTTTGTTTTTTTAATGCCTCTTAATGTCGATTATTATTTATATTTAGATAATTGAAACAACGAGAGATATCGAAGCAAAACAGGGTACATATGAACCTTACAACATTCTACTGGAATGGAATCTTGAATTCCAAGTTAACTTAAGCAGTGAATTACCAAACACACCACATAATGTAATCTCGTAAGCTCACTTACCTACCGATCTCTTTCTCGGTATGTTCTTATTAGGTTCTGTATGGTTTTGTGTGAATTTTGTTTTAGAATGTCAATCTCACAGAATGTGATCATATTTTGTTCAATTTGTGATTTTGAATTCCAATTTCTATTGTCCCTCGTTATTGTATATTTGGAATCTAAAATTATATTAGCAGTAAATACAATACTTTTGAATGTATTCACTGTATTCTGTCAGAATGTATTCTGCCAGAATAAAATCTATGTATTCTGCCAGCATGTATTCTATATATTCTGTCATATTCTATGTATTCTAACAAAATATATAAAGTGATAGTTAATTGTAAGTAACATGTTTTTAACCATTATTAGTTTTTGTTGTATTTGTGATAGAAATGGCTGGAAGAACGCGTTGAAGACTTAATAGGAATAACTTGAAGAATGAATAAAGTTTGATCATACTCACAATTTAAGAATGTTGTTACTTTTTAAGAATTTTATTCATTTTTGTTGATATTCTTTTAGAATATGTATAAGTATATTAAAATGTATAAGGCTTTTATTCTGTAAGAATATATGTATGAATTTGTATTTAAGTTCGGATGTATAAGAATATATTAGAATGTTGTTATTTTTCAACCTCGGATTCAAGAATTTTGTTATTCTTCAATAATATTCTAATAGAATAAAATTCTGAAAGAACATCATTCTAGCAAAAAAATATTCTGATAGAATAAAATCGGTTATGCTTACAAATTACGTTAGAATTAAAATT